AAGAGGTATCTCAGCATCGAGTACTTTTTATAACACTTCAGCGGCTTACGCGAACGTGCCCCCGCACAAATCTTGTGAACAGGGTAGCTTCCCTTCTACGCAACGTTTTGCAAATAAGTTACAGTACTTACCTATCGTATCACTCACTTCAAGGGGGGGGGGGGGGAGGGCTTCAGATGGAATTTTGTGGTGGTGGTGAGATGCAAAATTTTCGCATATGCCGTATGCTGCATATGCATAATACACTCGTTTTATTTTTGGCACAACACCGTTTAAATTCCGCTGTTTGGCCCTCGTTCCCACTAGTGGCTGTCCTTACTGTCGATTAAATCTGGCAGACAAGCGCAATTTGGTTTAGAAATCAGCCCGAATTCACTAGACAGGGAAGCAAGGGCAGGAGATACTTTGCTCACCTGACCACTTGGATGCAACGCTGATTCCTTTCTCATTAAAGGAAAAACGTAGAGAAATACGTCCTCCCTCATTTCTACATGTCGTGGCACTTGAAGGCACCGCAGTACCGCCAGTGCTCTTTGGTTTTGTTTCGGCGTGGTGCGCGCCCGCAACGCTCTCGTCACTCTCGTCTGCGGGAGCGGCTGAGAAGTGCACACTTTTGTCGCCAGGGTGGCGTTGTATGCGTCGTGGAAACTCCAGCGCCGGTTCCCTTATCAGCCAGGCTAGCATCTCCAGCTTTTTAAAATGTTATAATATCCTTGGTATTACAGGAAATGACGCTCCAGTGCAAATGACGATGCCAGAACTATAAATACTTGAAGAAGGGTGCCTCTAACATTTCGTATGTCTCTCACTAAAGTGCTGTTTAAAGTCTTCAATAGTCGGGTTTGCCGGACAAGCAATGCAAGAATGGACGCTTTTCATCTTGCAGCAGAAAGATTGTGGGGATCATATCGCTTAACTGGGCATAACACGTGGTTCCTGAGATGTGGATTTGCTATTTTGTGTTCCGCCTTCGCAAGAACAATTTTGCAAACGTAGTTCCTTGATGTTTATCTTGTTGTTCACTATTTTCTACCGTGTTTGACTGGGTAACCTGATTACTGCAAAGAAGTTATAGGATTTTAGCTAACACCATTGCTCTTGTCGCTGTGGGAAGCGTTCAACAAAGTGATTTGTCTTCACTCCTTTATAAAGCTTGGTGGGCTGTAACCTTTGCTGGTCACACATTGAGCATTTCAGTTGGATATTGTGTTAGCTGCAGTGTAGAAAGTACACGACATCTCATTTTGAGCCATCAATGGGCCATTATTTAACATAACTTCATTGTTCCACCCTTAAACCTTCTTGATAATTTTAAGAGCGCCATGCTCATCAGCGTTTTCTGTATCATTAAAATACTCTATTTCTAATCATCAGTGCCAACTTATTTTATTTCGCTTGTGGTAGTTGTTTTTCTACGTGTGAGGGTGTGAGCTATAGCTAAATATCCAAGTGGCGCCGGCAATGCGAAGCAACCAGTAGGTTCAATTCTTAACAAACAAGCTTCATCCTCTTTTTTTGCTTAACTTTATACTGATGTCTGTTGCAAAATTCTGATATCTGTTGATAATGTTTTTAGGCTCCTAATTAAGCTCATTAATTCACGAGACTCAGACGCCACGAATTTTTTTGTGTAGCTTGAGATCAACCGCAGATTACTGAGACCATCATTTGAAAAAAAAAATATCCAAAGCATGCCTGAATTAATCAGAAGCTGCAACCTGACTGGACTTCCCTCGTTTGAATCGAGTTCAACCTTGGCTCCCAAAGCAGGCCCATTGTGAGCGCAGTCACGTATGGTGCCTCCTTGCTTCGCCTCTCAGAGCCGCGAGCTCAACGGAAACAGGTCTGCCGTGACTAACGCGGCATTCCAGCCGAATATCCGGAAACTTCGAACGCGTGAGAGCCAGCGCTCTCTGATTGCGTCGGGGCACCTCTTTAGCAACACTGATCGGCCTCTCCGGAATCAGTATTCCGGAGAGGCCTGTTAGTGTTGCTCCATCAAAAATCACCGATCCAGCCGTACAGCTGCCAGAGAACATGAATGACTGCGCTCATCTCTTTTGTATGGTGAGGCTGCCAATTTATTTCTCTTCCAGACCCTGTTTGGGCATCGCCGACAAGATGCTCTACAGCGGAGGCTGTAGCCAATAAATCTGAATAAATTTGCGAGGGCCCTTCTTTGCCCTGTTGGGCGTCATCCTCCTGGAACTACCTTCATGGTACAAAAAAATTATAGCGACGTTTCTCATGTTATACGCTGGACAAAAGTTATTCGTTTAAATTGACAAACGACACGAGTAAATGAACGATCATTAAGCCCAAAATGTTGTTCCTAACACAGGGTTCATTGCATGCGCGCCCATAAACGCTGGTGCACATTTTTTTCCCTCAAGAAACTACCGGTTTCCAGCAATGATCATGTACAGTGAAGCATCCGCTCACCTTTTTCTGCTTTCATTATTTTTTATTGTTTTGTACAATTGGTAAAAAAAGAACTCCTGGGCATGCGTAGTAGCACCATTTACAAAACTACATGACGATCTCTACACTTTCGCCGCACGCGGTGCCAAATCTTTCCACTCTCTGCTTGCGCGCGTCCTGTGTTAGTGCGCACCGCTGTGCACCACGGGCAGGAGATTGCAGGAAGCACCATTGTGCGTGGCCGTTGATCCGGGTCGGTCTCGGTTGATTAGTTGCTCGTGGTAACCACCGATCTAATGGCAAAACGCTTTGATGTAGAGCCGCTTCAATCATTCGGTGACCACGGCGGTGAACAAAGTAGTGTTCTTTCGGCACTTGCACCCCTCCACCAGGATGATCTTAGCTTGTTTTGCGGTTAATTACGTTTCGTAATTATAAATGGGAGAATGAAAGTATTATTGCTGGTGACCAAAACTTTGTTCCTTAGAAACAACAGGCCGCATGGACAAACCTTCTCGAGCACAAATACTTTTGGGCACTGATAATTGATATGTGGGCTTTAACGTAACAAAACCACCACATGATTATGAGAGACGCCGTAGTGGAGGGCTCCGGAAATTTCGACCACCTGGGGTTCTTTAACGTGCACCTAAATCTGAGCACACGGGCCTACAGCATTTTTGCCTCCATGGAAAATGCAGCCGCCGCAGCCGAGATTCCATCCCGCCACCTTATTTCTTGGCACTAGCCAGCTGTCTTCACTAACAATAAATCCAGCATCAGGATTGTCCGAAAATATTTATCTTAAGAAGAAATTTATAGTACCAACTTTTTGTGGATATCGGTTGAGAGACCGAATTCCAAAGGGCTCCTTCTGTTCGCAGCTGTCAACCGCCTTGGGTAATGATGAACTTTGCATGAGAACTGGCTAAATTTCTCTTTCGCTAACAGCACGGTCTCAATTTTTTTCTGTGAACACCTTTGGGTACGCAAAGTTGATTTCGTCCTCGAAAAATTTTCACGTCAACGTTCCATAGCATTATGCTCACTTGAATTGGTGTTTGCAGTTCGGCACAAATTGTGAAGGGTCACGTACGTTAGAAGAAACGTACTAGATACCATTACTGGCCTACGTGCATGACGCAGGGTTTCGTGGTGTATAGAGCAAAAATAGAAACCATTTGTACACATCGTCATTTCTGTTCATAGCACTCTATTAACCACATCCGCGTAGTCACAATTTATCCCAAGTCTCCCCATCAAGGCGTGGCTCACAAAAAGGTCGCGCTGTTAGTGCGTGACACTTTGCAATGCCTGTAATGGATCAAACCACGCAAATGTGGTTTCATGCAGCCTTCAACACGAGTGTCAGATCTAATTTCTTTCTATCGCTTGTTAAGAAGCCCCGTTAAGTTTTACATGTTTCCGTACAACAAGAACAGGAGCGATATGAGAGGGAGCTAGAATTTCCCACATTGCGTCTGCATTGATCGCTATAAGCGGGCCCCACTGTCAAGATTTGACGTGTGACTGTGGGAAATGATGAGACGGGATTAAGGAAGCCCTCCTCAGAGCTGGTTCCTAGACACCTCCAGTTGCGACTCGTTCAACAGTCGCGAAACAACCGAATATCTATTCTGTGAGCGAATGCAACGTTCCACGCGATTCGCTCAACAAGCTAGACGAGAGACCGTTTCGGGAAGATCCTCGATTCGTGGCTCTATTTGTCGCAGGCCAGCAAAGCGGCGTGGGCTTTTATGGTGTTCTTCAAATTAGACCGGGTTAAGAGATCGGCGTGTAACGGAGAGGTGCACATGTATCGCGAAGCTGCTTTCTTCTCTCTTCTGTCTTGTTTGAAATAATCCCTTTCCACAAATGTGGGGTAGCAAACCGGACTCCCGTCTGGTTAAACTGCCTGCCTTTCTTTCCTTCCTTCCTTCCTCCTAATACAAACTGGTATGCAAGTGACCAATTTCATAAACCTATTTATTTATTTATTTTCTCTCGAGCACTTTGGACTGTAAAGCCAGCTCGGCGTTTTCTGTGAAGGGAAACACTTGCACGCAACGGCTCTACGCGTGAGCAGAACACTGCCGCCCTCGCTTCGACCTTTCTTTGACCTTTCTTATATACCGCGCTAATCTGTCCAGTGACTCTAGTCCGTTCTTGGAAGCGAGAGCTCCATGTAATATTTTCGCGCAGTAAAGTGCGAGGACACTTCTGCGGTGTCCTAAGTAGACAGACATGAATGACGGCAGAGTAGCACGCACGATGAGCGCGGGGTATAGTTTTCTTTGGCTTCCAAACTTTTTTTTCTCACCTTCATTTTGCTTAATATTCATTGCTTTCGTGCGGGGAGTATTTCCCAAACGCTGATGAAGCACCTACAAATTATATGCAGAATACGTTGCCTTTACGTGACGCCTGAGTTATCGAACGGAACTATAAGCAGGAGACTGTGAAAAGACCTCGAGCTCGCTTTATTGCCACAGTGACCTGCTGCTCTTCTTCACCAGGACAGTCTCGGGATATAATTCTAGTGCCACCTTTTCTCTCTCTTTGTCTTTTTTATACAAAAGGATTTTGCGCTGAAATTGCTCATGAGCCTTCAGCCAAACTTCATGCTCGACATAGAGGCGTAGCCGGCTGGCAAAAAGCAAAAAGAAAACTCACGAAAAAAAAGTGATTTTGGCACTTCGTTTTCAGTGCTTTACTACCGCATTTGGCCAAGTCTTTTTAATGTTTTTTGCGAATCTACTAAATCGACTGCTGAATCACTTTTTCGGGGAATGTCGTTGCACCTATTAAAAAAGGGAGAAAACTCATCGAAGGCTGTGCAACAAACTCACTGTGAAGGTAAGCGAGGTAGGCGAAAATTTGTTAAGTTAAACAATGAGTTCGAGGGAATAAATTAAGTTTGTACGTCACGATAGAGCTGTGATTAGGGTGCTCGGCTACTAATCTGAAGGTCATGAGTTCGATCCCGGAGCAGCGGTCACATTTTGATAAAAGTGAAATCGCAAAGGCCCGTGTAATGTGCGATGTCAGTTCATGGTCAATAACATTAGATGGTCAAAAGTTGCGGAACCTTTTACTATACGGCATCTCTGATAATCATATCCTAGTTTTGGGGGCGTAAGACCCCAGATATTATTATTAATCCACGATAATATTGTTGTAGCCTATAGTTCACGGTAGGGAATATTGGGTGAAACTAAAAGAAAAAAAGAAAATATTTGTGAATGTATTGTTGTAAGCGACACCCTTGTTACAAGCGTTTCAACCAAGGTGTGACCCAGGTATAGAATGTAATGAGGTAATCGCAGTTTATTCAATGAACCACAATCATTCTAAATATAAGGCGCTAGCTCCGTAATCATATCACACCATACGAATGTGTGTAGGCATGAGGAGTGCCAGCTTATCTCTTGGTGGTATTCTCCCGCAACATCAGCCGCCGCGGAAATCGTTACACCGTCATTTTGTGGCTTCATTTTGCTACTCTGCTTTTTCTTCGGCGTCACTCAGTGCCGCGCATCCGGCCACGGGAGTGTAATGTCACCCTCGCCGAGACACGGTTGCCTGGAACGTCTCGTGACACTGTCGTTCTTGTTCCCCAGGTGTCACTAGCGACTCGTATAACGACAAATTCCATCTGCTGATTCGCCTTACACGCGTGGCATCCTTGCGTTCGCTTTCTCTCTCTCTCTCTCTCTCTCTCTCTCTCTCTCTCTCTCTCTCTTTGTTTTTTCTTTCTTTCTTTCTTTCTTTCTTTCTTTCTTTCTTTCTTTCTTTCTTTCTTTTACGGCGCATGCTAAGCCGTACTCGTACGCACAGGAACATGTGCTGCTATTGATATGAGTGCGGAATATCTCCCTCCTTGTGGGACAGTCGTCTCGTGAAGGGTGAATATACGTTTGAACAGATGGAATATGTGACAAGCAATGGCGGTTTCAGAGGGGGTAGTAGGAACGATCGCCCCCCCCCCTCCCCCAAAGCCTCTCAGCACCTCCTCCCTATCTCTTCAGTGCTTGCCGTCCACCTGCTATCACTCGTTAGGACAAATGAGTGGGACCACTGTGAGCACACGTTAAGAAAATTTATGCCATTACAGGGTATTTGTGCTAGTAGAAACAAAAAAGTAATGACCACGCCGCCCTTTCCGGTGTTAAATCAAGGAACCCCCCCCCCCCCCCCCTAAAATGGGTGGCTGGATCCGCCCTTGGTAACAACTTGTATTAGATGACGGTAAATGTTGGCAAAATGGCGAGAAATCATAGTGGGACGGATTATTAACCTGAATTTCTCGCTGGTCGGTGAGTGTTGTCGGGGGGGGGGGGGGGTGCAGCTCAATTGTTCGGGTTAGTTCCGACAAAAGCTTATAGGGAGTTCATTTTTCTTGTTTGTTCAGGATAGGCTTGATGCGGTTGTTGCCGTTCAATTCGTGTATGAAACAAGGACGGTGGGATTTTCAATAGCCCTCCGAATTTACACCTCTTAAACATATGATTACCAGTAAAAGGCTTCAGGGTTGGAACACTGGTTTACCGGTCTTCGAAACCGAGTTTTCCGGCCTCCTTAGTTAGAGTGAGTATGACTTTAGGAATGAGTGAAATGTACTGAGAACACCACGTTGGTAGTATAGCGCCAACGTAAACGAGGCACTCGAAAGGTGGCTAACAGCTTTGTCTCGCCCAATGGCTTTATCCTTCGTCTTCGCGAGTGACATGCGCCAGAATACCCGAGACGAGAGAGTGGTGCTTACGTGCAACACCTCTGCGCTGTATTCATGCTTTGTAAGCTCCGACTTTCGTAAATAGAACTAAAAACGTGGCGAAAACGACTACTGTTGCGGATCTGCAGTGAGAGATGAATTCTGCAGCTGCAGTGAGAGATGAATTCTGCAGCGTGTCCAAATTGCTATGCGCCGCCACGCCTGTTCCTATATTGGCCTAATACATGCGGTCATCCTTCGATGGTGGCGGCCTAGAAAAGAGGGGCGCTATATCCGCATAAGCGGCGGCTGACTACTTTTTCATGCAGCGGCAAACGGTCGGCCACCTTTGTCCGTACTAATGGCATCGTATAGAGCGCTGTGCTAACGCGCAACATTTCCGCAGAAACAGGCAAACTTCCTGTTCCATAATTCCCCCATCGAGTTACCGCTGCGCGGCTGCTTCGCAGCACTCGTCATTGTTTCCATTCGCCGTCATTACCCGCAGAAGACGGCGGATATGTGAGTATTTTTTTCGGGCGTTGTGTGCATGCGTTAGAATTCGTTAGGAAGTTCGTAAAAGTTGAGCGTATATTCTCTGATGGCGCGCGTAACGTCATGCCTTGTGACTTTATGTTTTGTCCTCGGGGGCGTGCAGGGGTGCGGGAACTCTTACATTTAGCTACGTTGCGAAAGAAACCGTTTTTGTGCGAGCATACACACCTGGCAAGAATTGTCTCCCATTCAGTGTATAATGGTTAACCTTTCTTTTCCGTAATATCTTCCCCTCTTGCCATTCAATTTAGTGCGTTTGAGGCAGCAAAAAAAAAGTAGTGAAAATGCCGGCTCTGTTACCGCATACTCCATCTGCAATCTTCTACGCACTCCCTAAGCGCATTTCTGAGCGCGTAAAAAATGACCAAGTACTCAAAGGTAACTATGCCTGCCGCTGATCGGCTAACGCTTCCGATCAGATTGGAACCCGGAATTGGCACCACAAAGCTTCTCTTTTGTCAGTGCTCTTTTAACGACCGGTTGCTTTTCTAATGGTAAGTCGAACATCAAGATTGACTGAAATTTTATCTTATGAACTATTTTACACTGAGTGTTTTTTCGCAAATGTTCATCTCAAATTGCTCGCACGTGCATGCAAGCCACTGTCATTCAGCACAATATTATTCGCGAAACCGTTTTTCCCGTGGGCAAAGAACACGCCAAAACGAAAAGCTTCTTCAATTCACCCCCGGGACCAGAAAAAAAAAAACGTTCGTCTGGGCTCTGGCTGCATGACACGCTTCCGTAAGTCAGAAGCGACGTGGTATACATTTTGTGCAGGTGTAGCTTCACTGTCCGCATACGCGTCGCGTAGTTTTGTGTTCATTTTGCGCACTCTGAGCGGCAGTCAATCGAAGACACCATTTCCGATGGAGGCGGAAATGCTGTAGGCCCGTGTGCTCAGATTTGGGTGCACGTTAAAGACCTCCAGGTGATCGAAATTTCCGGAGCCCTCCACTACGGCGTCTCTCATAATCATATGGTGGTTTTTGGACGTTAAATCCAGGCCAACGTATCAATCAATCAATCAATCAATCAATCAATTATCGAAGACACCCGCCGCATGAGTGTTGCGGTGACGTCAAGGTCGCGGGTTCGATAGCACCCGTGGCGGTTGCATTTCGATGGAGGCCCGTGTACCATGCAATGTCTGTGCACCTCAAGGTGCACCAGATGGTCGAAATTTCCGGTGTCCATCCCTACGGCGGGTCGCCTCATAATCGTAGTCTGGTTTAGGAACCTGTACAACCCTATACATTTTGATACTATATGATATATTGGAATATAATGCAATATAATGTATAGTATAGTATACTGCAACTTATGCTCTATCGAAGGCTATTTTGCAAAAAGGCTTCTTTGTCAGTAATATCACTCCGGTCGTGCATTATATTTCGTGGGATGACGCTCTATTAACTATACGCTTTTGTTTAAAGAGAAGATTTTTGTTGCGAATTTTGTAATGGCGTTGCGCAAAAACACGGGTTTATGAATTAGAGATCACTCGCATCTTCACTACGATCAGTGGCTGGCCCTGTTTTTTTTTTCTCCACAATTATGCAGCTATACAACAGATAGCCTCTAAATAACATGATTCCTATAAATGTAGGTCACGAAGTGCGCGAATCTTTTTTTTAAAGCAAGTCCTTCTGATTTCGTTTTTGGGTGTTCTCGTGTGGCGCGCCAGCTTTCTTGTTGTCTCGTCGATTGAAATGCCAGACGCATTGTCTACAAACTCTGCTCACTCTAGTCGGCACCAGTATAGGTGCGTGTTCCAATATACAATTCCGGCCCTGAGCGCCACCGTGTGACATCGCGTATATGTGAACATCCTTGGCACATTTCCTAGAATGCTTTTGCAAACCGTAGACGTGTACACAGGATACTCTAATACACGAAGTGAACCAAGTCAAAATAGGCCGTCCATTTGACAAAAATTAAGAAGAATATTGAGAGAGAAAGAACGTATCAATTGGCGTCAACGAAAGCTTGACTTATCAATAACTCTGGCATATTCGTGAGGTCCACCACTCCTTCAGTGGCACTCCTACAGTTTGGAGCACGTCGTTAGTAAATGAATTGTCAGGATGAAAGAGAATTGCAGTATAGTCATATACAAGCAATAAAGGGCACACAATTGATGTTTCTTAATACGCGTAATATGGACCAATACAGTCATTCATGAAAATTTGGCAGCTGGTCCTTTTTATGCCTGAAGCTCGAAACCTGTGATTTTCGAGGAAAACGAGCGCCCTCCTTACATAGTATGACAACAATCGAGGGCTTGTTGTCGGCTTTCCTGGGCGTCACGGAGCCTCTCAGCTGCTTGGCTTAGTGAGGGACTGAGAACGGTCATAAACACTGAATAAAAGC